CTTCTCCATGGCTTAAACCTGGACTTGGGTGTCCCTGAGAGTTGTCCCTTGGAATCCCTAGAGGCCAACACAATGACAGCATAGAGGACTGCTTTCCTGAAGGGCAGATTGGTGACATTCTGTTCACTTTCCCTGAGGCAGAACAGCCACACATCTGGAGTGCAGCAGTGAGCACAAAGAAATTGCTGCTGCCTCATCTGAGATGCTGCTGGCAGCAGAGCCAGTTGCCTTTGGGTGTACATATAGTGACACCCTCAATACAGCTGTCACCTTGCTGTGCCACATGTGAGGGACACTCTTGTCACTGCTATGACAACCAGTGAAGCAACAGCTCAGGCTGAGGTGCCTGGAATTGAACACACACTAACTTCCCATCAGTTCTGAAATATCAGAGACCATTTTCAGCTCTTCTACATCACAGGTTTCCCCAAAGGTACCAGTTTCCTCACATAAAGCCTCCTACACAGAAACTGTTGGCTAAAACTGTATGTTCTAACTTCCACAAGGTGTGAAGAACAACATCATCGCTTTGAAGAAACATCATAAAGTTAAAATAAAATCTATTCCTTTCTCAGTGTTGTAAAGCTTTGTAGAATACAGTGACCTCTTACACCTGAGATGCAGCACAAAATGAATTTTACCAGCTTTGTGTTCTTTTCTGTTACTTGTTCTACAGGATGGGAAAGACTATATTCCACTGAACATCACCTTGTGTCCAGATGGAGAATCCAACTCCAAAAATTGCCCTGTGGAAGAAAACTCAACCAATGGAGTTAAGCGCTGGAGTGCAGTGGAAACTGGGTAAGAAATATAGATACAGGGATGGGGGAAAGAGAGATTTCCCAGAGGTGGGCAGTGCCTGCTGTCCTCTCTTAATGTGACCGGTTAAAGAGTTGGACAGACAAACCCGTCAGGGTGTTGGATATTACTTACAGGACATGAAAAAAAAAAAAGATGGGCCAGGAAACTGAGCTGTGTCAGATGTAACTGAGTGAGTTTTATGCTGACCCTCAACTTTCCTTACAGTAACAGCAGCAAGAAGCGACCCCTGAGTGTGAAGACATTTGATGAGGTGCCAGTGCAAAAAGAGAAAGTGATGCATGAGGTAAGGGAGGTGACTGCATCCTTCTCCACCAGGTTCACAGATCACTTGTCACCAGAGCCAGAAACACTTACTAGAGCTTTTGAAATCTGTTTGGTAAAAAATAACTTTAAATCAGGCACAAGATTTGGCCCTAGCATCTCACACACAGGTCTGTGTGACAACAAAGAGAGACCTGCATTTTGCATAACAAATAATTTAAAGAGAAGCTCATGTGTGATTCCTCTGGCTTTGATCAGGCTAAGGGGCTTTATATGGATGTATTTCAGGTTTTTTTTGCGCTATAAGAAAGTGGCAGCTCATTGAAATCAAGCTCTTTGAAGAAAATGTGTCCAGAACACATTCTGGCTGGCTGAGATAGCCAGTAACTTGGCGGGGGTGAGGGATAGTTCAGTTATATATCAGGGATATATCCAGTTCTGGATAGCCAAGACCAAGATTCAAGTTTCTGCCCTTGATTCACACAAAGGGTTTCAACCCTGGATTTCCCTCACCCCAAGTGCACATACTTACTACTAGCTTAATGGCATTGCAGTGTGGGAGAGTGTTAAGGGGTTTAATTTTTAGCTCAGGGGAAAACAAAACTTGTTTTGTTACAGAATGATGGTTCTGCTGGTTGGCTTCCTCTGAAATTACAGCTTGGAGGGGTTTTGTTTCTATTTTTCCTTCCTTATTTAAAAAAAAATCAAAAAGCATACAAGCTACAACTCATGGGTTCCCTCTATGGTTCAGGCACTCCCTGTTGCAGCTCCACGTACAGTCCACCCCACCTGCCTCAATGACACAGTCTGTGCCACTAAGGAGGAACCCCTGCAATGCACAAATGCTTCGAGGGGTTCAGAGTTTAGGGAGGAAGCATGAAGCCCTCAGGAAATCTCCTAACAGAGGAGGAGAGCAAGCTCAGGTGACAAGGAGCAGCTAAAGAAAAGGCTCCAACCAGGAATCCCTCCTGGACAGAGCCTTTCCTCAGACCAGCTCTCTGGGGAAGGGTCTAGTCCTCAACTACAACTTTGTCCTGGATGCATTTCATGTCCTTGACAAATACAGTGTATTTCTGCTCTCCGGTTAGCGGAGATTGAGGCTCATTATTCCCCAGTATCTTGCCAGATGTAATTTCTCTCTCTTTATCACTGCATCTTAGGGATTAGAAGGCTTAGAATTTTCTCTGGCGCCTGCATCTTTACTCTTCCAGGATAACAATCTGTCCCTCTGCATCACACAAAGACATTTACTAGATCAATCTGCTATCAGTAGGAGATTACTGCTGCCAGCACAAGCATTACTTGCCTAAATGTTCCCTGTTCATGCCATTTTAAAATAAGCCCTTACATGAAGGGGGAGAAGTTTCAAAAAAGGGTAATAATACATGAACAGAGCAGAAATAAATGTGATATCCCAATGAAGATATTTTAAAGCAAAATTATGGTGTGATCTGCATTTGGACAAAGTAACTGCATTTGGGTTACTAAAATTATCTTAAATACCAAGACATTCATACTCATTAGGTCATTATTTCAAATAGTTGCCCAGGATCTCTTGAAGTGCTCTACCACACCTTCCTGCAATTGTGCCACTTATCTGGAGTCTCTGTGGATATTCTTTTAACAGAGAAGTGTAAGCACAGTGCAGAGCAGCCCCAGATAAACTGTTCCTAGACCACATGTTTTAAGGGGAAATAGTCAAGATAAAACCCAGAAAGACAAGCTGGGCTCTACCCAGGGTTTGACAGACCTCATTAATTTAGGACCTTACTTAATACTTTGAAAACCAGTTTCTAAACTGATCTTATTAAAAACTGATATATTACCAAAGGATTTATAAAAAGGCTTTTGCTTGTTATTTATTGACTGCTGTATTATTTTTTATCTTTCAATCAGTTTGACTGGTGAAATAAGACTAACTAGAGTTTCACTTTTATATTGAAGTGTTTTGCTGTCTTGGTTTTGACAAACACACCGACATGCAGCTTTCCAGCATCACAAAGCATTTCAAATGCAGAGGAACCCCCAGAACTTAATATTTTTAAATTACTTAAAATGAGGACTGTGATGTCTTTAACACTTAGCACATAACAGCTTGGTCTTAACTACAACCTCAAGAGTCATAGTTTCATAGAATTTTAAGGGACTGGAATGAACCTTAGAGATCATCTAGTCCCAACCC